GTTGCCTGAAAAAAGAAAAAGAATGTAGCACACCATTTTAGAGGCGCCAACTACGCATATCTAGTATACTTTTGCCATAAAGACACTAAGCCACATTAAAGGAAAAGTTCTCATGCTTTCAACACCTAATGGCCTTTAGACTTGAACACGAAATACTGAAAATTTACAGAAATGTTTTTGCTGTTGGAAATTTTAAGAACCCATGGACAAAACAAAGAAAACTCAGTATGGTTTTGAGAAGAAACAAAAATAGGAAGACCAATTGCAGATCACATACCTCTATAAGTGATATATCTATTTTCTCTCTTGGATCGTTTCCGAGGTGGCTCATGAATAGCAAATATTTCAGAGAATTGTAAGATAACCATACCATCTTCCACATACAAAGTAGGGAGTGACGTAGCTCTTTTCTCATTTAAACTACCTTCCAATAACTCATCCACCTCCCCCTGAATGTTTCAATGAGATCACTAACAGAACAAAATTCTCCCACAGCAAAAAAGATGTTGTAAACTGACCTCCCGGACATCTTCTGTGTCCATCTGAGCCTCATTTTCCAAGATGGTTCCCTTCTTTTCATACTCCAAGGTCTTGTCCTCCTTTAAGAAAACTGCAAAGCAATAGTATTCTTATGTCTCACAATCAGAAGCTCACGAACCATCTAAGATATATTTTAAGAGTTCGGATCACAGGATTTAAGACGCACTTGACTAAATCTTTGCAAAATATAATTTTCCTCGGCTCAAAGAGTAGAAGTTTGGAGAATAACTCAACTAAGTCAATTTGAGAGTAATGAAATGACACACCAAAAGTACAGAATATAATGTGCTAAACGTTTTGTTCAGGAAATGGTGATTTCAATAGCAAACCTGGTTCCCTCTCTTCAGAATCAAAAGCTTTTTCAACTGGAGTGTGCTCCTCTTGTTCTTCTTCCTCATCATAATCGTCATCGTCAAACACAAAAGCTTTCGAATTTAAACTACTCAAAGCAACTGCAGCCGAAAAGTACTCTCTTTTTGGCAGTACATGATCTTCCTCACTAACTACTTGAACTTCTGACTCATCATAGTCCTCGTCATATTCTTCATCGATATCCTCACAATCAACAGCATCCTCTGCTTTTCTATCATAATCTACATGATGTATCATCACAGTCAGTGAAGCTGATGACTGGAATTTTATACAATTTACGGAAAACACATTGTGTTAAATAATCCAGTAATAAATAGATTATGAGTGAAATTAGGAGAATGCAAGACCAGGATGATGGGAACGTTCACTGGGATGTAGGAATTTTATAGCAGGGTCCCTAGTAAGTCCTTCAGCATGGTTTTAGAGAGAGGGTAGAATGAAATCTAAATGCTAACAGAAAAAATAAAAAAGTGAACCCTGGCGGACAACATCACCTTGCTCAGCTGGATCACTTGTTGTATTTTCTGAATTTGCCAACGACTGTTGAGTTTAGAAACACCATTTTTGGCATCCAAGTACAACAAAAAGGGGGATTAAAAATAACTTAAAGACTCACATTTCACTCTGCTATAAACTTTAAGAAACAAGATTACAAAGAGTGTAACAAACTTACAATTATATCTGGCAGAGACGAAGCCAATGCAGAAAGATGTTCTTTGGCGTCCTGTAGAATTGAATGTTATCATTGGCACAAGTACACTTAGTGAAGAATTCATAACTCACAAATCATAAACAATAAAACACAGATATCTGTTTTAGCCATCTCTAGTAAGAAGACAGCAAAAAAAAGACCCAGTTTCCCATGAAAATAATCTACACGCTATGCCTTCGACAATGCCATCATACATTCATACTGAAAGAGTAAAAGCGATTACCTCATCAAGGTAATCAGCATCCAAGTCCCCAGAGTTATCAACGTTTCCAAAGATAAATCCCAGTCCCATGCCGCTGTCCTCATATTCTTCATCGTCATCTGCAAACCAAAACATGTAAGTACTAGTGTTTAACAAACAAAATTTTGGCTACTAATGGGGAATGTAGGTTACAAACAGGATAAAAAAATTAGAAAACAAGAGGCAGGCATTTAATTTATGGTTAAATGCAAAATTTAGTATGGACACTCCTCGGTTCCAAGGGCACCTTTTTCATAGGATTCTCTCTGTCTCCAATCTCTTACTCAGATAAGATACTACAAATCATCTTCCCATGAAAAGTTCCAAAAAAAAGGACCCTAACTATAAAACATGTCCATGATCACTCAATCCTGCTCTGTTTCTACTTACTTAAATGTAAAATGAGAAACTCAGAAACCCCAAAAAGGGTCAAGAGCTGACCTAAAGAAAACCCTCTAGTTTCACATATTTCAGTAACCAAAATTTCACAACTAAGAAACCATGTCAACAATTGAATGAACCAAAAGAAAAGCAAAAAATTTGATAAGAAGACTGCAAATATATATTACCTGAGGAAGTCTCGTTGAGTTGAGCCATATTAAAACTTCAATTTCAAGAGAGTGGCGTAACAAGTTTGCTTCCCAGAATCGCGAACCACAACAAAGTATCAAAATCCCACGCAATTACAGCCAGATTCCTTATCTAAAAGAGAACCAAGAAAAACTTCATCAAAACGCCTCAAATTTTGTATAGAAAAACAAACAAAACCCTCTTTGATCGACCTTGAAACCCTAATCGAGAGTACACATACCCTTCGCCGGAGAAGGATAACCAATTCAATTGAAAGATACGGCCAACGATGCCGGAGGTAGCAAAAGGCTCAAATCGGAGGAGAATGAAGAAGAAATCGCACAAAGGGATCAAAGAAGCGGGTTTTATCATACGATGTGTATTTATATGGATTTATAACCCGACCCGTATTAGTTCAGGGTCCAATTTTCTACCCGAATCAAAACGCCGTCCAAACCAACCCCTTTCCAAAAATTAAACCAATTTAGTAAGCTTTTTCAATTATCTCGAACTTTGTTATATATAAGCGCCGTTGGGGAAATATTTTACTTTATTAATATTTGAATTGAGAATGGACCCATTATGCGTTGAATAAGTTTGAAATAAATAATTAAAAATACATCGCTTTTTTTGACGAAACTACCCTCTGTAAGGTTAATTTATTACTCGAGAAAGCCCTTTCCAAATTCAAATTCGAACACCGCCCCCAAAGTGCAAAAACATTGGATTCAATCTCAGCCGTCCATTTCATCGTCTTCTTCTTTACCATCTCTTTCTTCCTCCAGCTTTACTGCTCAAATGATGCAAATCTAGAGAGAGAAAGAGAGACTGTGAGT